TAAGTAATTTGTGGCCAAAAATAAGATCAAAAGTACAAAACATTTGCTGTATATTGCTTTCAACGCACCGTTTGTGCCGATTATCGTCGTCTCATTTAAAGGGGCGACTGTTTTGTCGGTCTTCTTGGGCTGAAATGAATGGTAAGTTTGAATGAAAACCAAATCAACAATTCATTCAAACGATGGCTTACTTTGCGTTTATTTCGTTTGACTGAATCAACTCTTTTGCGAGCATTTCTTTGACGACTTTTGACGGAAAAGGCGATCGGATCAGTGAATTCGCTCATCGGATCCGATGACAAGTCTATGCCATCTTCAGAAGACATGCTGTGTTTCAATCAATTCTCGTTTGCTTTCACTAACTAATGAAAATGCATTGAAAGAAAAAAACTCGTGGTTTTACAGTTAAGTTTTGTTCAGTACAAACAAACCCCGGTATTGAGTGTCTGACTGAAGAAATATCACATTTGCATTGATTGTATCGACCGTTTTAGGCTTACAGTTATGTATTATTAAACTAAGGTTTGATTGTATGTGTGAACTGACCGGATGTCTAGTGTTTAGCGCTTAATTTTTTAGCCAAAAAAATCATCACTTTTTGAATAAAAAAGTTATTCACTATTTGTCACGTGTTCACAATTCCAATACAATACAAATATGACATTACAATGTAGCAACTATTTCTAGTGGTTAATAGCAATACCCCCAGACTCGGCATGTATTGTGGGATCAGTTTACCAAAAGTTTATTATAACTATATTTAACTATAACTATAATGCAATTCTCTGCAAATTATAATATAGTATGTGATGACAGTGTCATCGATACGCGCCTTACTATACAATTGTAATTCTGGTGAATGGCCTTAGATTTATGCGTCAAACTATTTTCCATTCGTATACACGTAGAGAAATGCATTTAAAAATGTGAACTTAGGTGTTTGCGGCCATTCGCACCTTCTGTTCCCGCAATATTCAATTAATTACTCAACTGAACACAACTGTATCAATACAGCCGGTATTGTTGAGTACCCGCTGACGGGGTTTTCCTATTTAGTGGACAAAGTAAAGCCCAAACCAAATCTCAAACCATATTCAGTACAGTATTAATTGACAATCACTTTATTCTGTAAATTATTCAAACATTATTTGTCACAAAAATAATCACAAAAACATAATATTTTGGTAATAAATAAGTGTACAAAAGAAATATATTTTGCGGTCATTATTGTAATGCAAATCTCACTAATGATAGTGTCATTTATTGATGATCTGTGGCTGGAATTCGGGGTTCGGTTCACTCATGTTTGGCATCTCAGAGAAGACCAGACAAAAGTCGCTAATCTTCTGGATTTTGCCCACTTTTCCCGTGTATAGAGTCAACGATCCCTTCCATAGAGAGGTATAACTAAAACGATCGCAAAAAACACAATTAAATCCAAACCATTGCCTTATATTAAGCGCGACTATGAATAACGACTAACCCTTTGACAACACGACAGATATCACCGGATTGTAGATGAAGTCCGGGTTCGTCCCAAACGCAGACATTGATGGAACCGCTTCTGTCGGCTATCTTACACGTCCTGATCTCGTGGTCGTCTTTCGTGGTGTTCGGACGACCTATACGTTCGGCAAAAGAGTGTTACCATCGATGAGATATAGACTTAATGGCGCCATATATTGAGTGATAACCATCGATACAGACCTACTTCTAAGACAATGGCGATCAGACTTATACTCTTCATCCCGTGCTTTAAGTCACGGATTTGTGTCAACGACTGGTCCATCGTTTCGTCGGTCACCGCAATGTCTTCACCGCCTCTTGAGATCAAACGAGATATAAATGATAATCATATAAACCATTCATACAATTGAGTGTTAATTATAACGATTTGAGACAAACATTACATTTAATGTTACAAAATATTTATTGTTTTGATTTTGAAATTTATTTTCACACAAAAAAACTTTGGCATAAAATCTGTCCACAAATTACATGACAAACAAATGAATGAAAGAGAGAGAGAGAGAGAGAGAGAGAGAGAGAGATTCTTTAAATATAAGTGTTTTTTATTTCATAACCAAAACTTCAATTTTTTAGTAAATCAATGATTGACTGAATGAATGAATGGAAAAGCATTTTCTATTCATTGTGTCGTTCACTCAACACACAAATGACTGCTGAGAACTCATATTTGATGGCAAACACACAAAATACTCTTTAAATAAACTCATTTGAGTTTAAAATATTTTTTGGTCCTATTTTTTCGACTCCTTTTATATTCGAGAATAACACACACAAATGACTGCTGAGAACTCATATTTGATGGCAAACACACAAAATACTCTTTAAATAAACTCATTTGAGTTTAAAATATTTTTTGGTCCTATTTTTTCGACTCCTTTTATATTCGAGAATAACTTTTGCTAAAAAAATACAACAGAAAGAGAAATAAAAAGTGTGTTATATAAGCGAAATCATAATAAAGAGAAGTGAAAATAAAAAGTTCAGCACAAAAAATGAGAGCTTTTTTCTTCTTCGTCGTCGACGAGAGAATAAAACTTGAATTCAAAAGAATAGACAAAAAAGACAATAAATATAATAAAATGTTTGCTCCGAAAAACTAAGGCAGTGAACAACACATTGGGTTTATAGCATAGGAAACAAAATTGGGAACGATTTAAATGTTTTACTCATTTTCTACTCAAATCTCTATTCATGTAATGTGTGTCTGTCTGTGGAAGCGATGGTTGAAAAGTGAAAGGTTGATGACGTTTAAGAGATGGTTCATTCATTGAGAGGCTATAAGTGCTTAACACACACTCACTAATAATGTTTGAATGCTTTTTTACACACAAATGACTGCTGAGAACTCATATTTGATGGCAAACACACAAAATACTCTTTAAATAAACTCATTTGAGTTTAAAATATTTTTTGGTCCTATTTTTTCGACTCCTTTTATATTCGAGAATAACCTTTGCTAAAAAAATACAACAGAAAGAGAAATAAAAAGTGTGTTATATAAGCAAAATCATAATAAAGAGAAGTGAAAATAAAAAGTTCAGCACAAAAAATGAGAGCTTTTTTCTTCTTCGTTGTCGACGAGAGAATAAAACTTGAATTGAAAAGAATAGACAAAAAAGACAATATATATAATAAAATGTTTGCTCCGAAAAACTAAGTCAGTGAACAACACATTGGGTTTATAGCATAGGAAACAAAATTGGGAACGATTTAAATGTTTTACTTATTTTCTACTCAAATCTCTATTCATGTTATGTGTGTCTGTCTGTGGAAGCGATGGTTGAAAAGTGAAAGGTTGATGACGTTTAAGAGATGGTTCATTCATTGAGAGGCTATAAGTGCTTAACACACACTCACTAATAATGTTTGAATGCTTTTTTGGCTCTACAATCACATAAAGATTTGCTTTTGATTTCTCAGAATTTCATAACTCATTCGTATGGTCTCTCTCTCTCTCTCTCTCTCTCTCTCTCACACACATCTAATATCCCCATCACTAGTACCACTCGCGCTGTCCTACAGTACCAGTGCTTTTAGGATAACGTATTTCACTTTCAACAACACAAGCAAACATTTTATTATATATATTGTCTTTTTTGTCTATTCTTTTCAATTCAAGTTTTATTCTCTCGTCGACAACGAAGAAGAAAAAAGCTCTCTCTCTCTCTCTCTCTCCACTCACTTTCTTTTGCTAAAAGCCTTACTGTCTTTGTAGTGATCCATCAAAATCAAAGCCGAGTTGGCTTTGAAAATGCCTTCTTCTTTACGATAGAGAAATATATTTCTCGTTTATATATGTTTTTTCTATGTATTGTATTTCTTATATAAATTTTATACTCACTTTTTTTTGCTGCTAATAAACTAAAAACCCTTCGACTATACATTTTATACTTGTGTTCACAATTCAGAGACCCATTGCATGGCATTCACTGATCTTTAACTTACGGTTCAATAGTTTTATAGTAAAAATTGGTCCAAAAAAGCAGTATTTTTATGGAAAAATGAAATTCTTTTTTAATACCATTTTTGCCAATAATTTATAGTTTATATATATTGTGGACGTAATAATAGGGACAGTCATTCGTCTATTACCGCCAATAGTGAAGTGAATTATTTGTTTTCAGGAGTTTGTGGCAAAAGAAACTGCCATTCAGTTCACAGAAGACATGGTATTAACTGTTTTTTATTTTCACTGTCTCTCTGTTTAGCTGTACTCTCACTATAAGTGCATTAGACCTTTAGTTTTGTTTTTAATATAAACTACTCGTCCAAAAAACACTGGGCTTTAGATCTAATATTAGTGTTCTTTCGGTGTCTTTCACTTTGTCTTTCTCTTCGACGTCTATACAGACATCACAATAAAGGGAAGGCTTTATAAGTGATCTACTCTTATATACTATTTGTGAATCTGTATCGCAATTGCAGTTAAACTATGTAAGAAAAAAGTGCGAAAAATAGCGCAAAGTTTTCTCTTTCTTTTTTTAAGACAAACGATTGCCTCAACACTACAATCATATGAAGAAGTGATGTATTATTGCGATCGACGTTCCGTTCATTGTATCCGAGAATGAGATCCAATTTTATCACCATTCAAACGGACGCCACCTTTCAGTTCACATCAAATACTATAAAACTATTGACTTTTTTGTCAAATATTCTTTACGAGATCAGACCATCTCTCTCTCTCTCTCTCTCTCTCTCTCTCTCTCTCTCTCTCTAAAATGATTTTTTGTTGCGTTGAAATGTTAAGACGATTCACACATAAAATCAATATCCAGTCTCCGGAAGAAAAATCGGAAGAGAAATACAAAAAAACTAAAAGCGAAAGAAAATCGTAAAAATAGTATCAATAATAATACATATCATTACTAAAGAATCGTTTCTTTTGTTAAAACTTTTCATCAGAAAAGAGAGAAAGAAATTCGCAAATAATGTGTAAAACTTTTGTTGTTTTGGGAGGTTTTGAATTTTCGGGTTTGTCTTAATGTAAAAAATTTTCTTCTCATTTATTATACGAATTATTGATTCAAAATATTGGGCGAAATGTGTGAAAGAAATTCAATTTAAAAGAACTGATATTTGTTTGAAATGCAATTTGTGTTGATTTCAAATGTGTTTTGAGGGTTGATTTTCTCTCTCTCTCTCTCTCTCTCTCTCTCTCTCCGCGAAAGTCTAATCAATGTTTAGCTAGAAATTCATTAATGTTTTATTTGTTAATTAAAGAAAACTACTTTTAAAAGCCGTTAAATAATTTAATGATTTAATCGATTTTCTCATTCATTATAATGTTTGGTGTATTCTCTCTGCGGAGAAAATGAAAACATTTTAATGCTATTATTTTTAAATTAAGTATATTTTTTGACTCAAAATTAATGTGTTGTTTACGACTACTTGTCCATAAAGAAGCAAAAACAATACAAACTGTTTAGCGAGTGATTTGAAAAATTGGTCCAAACTTTGCAATAATAAAAAATAAATACATTTAAAAGTTTTATATATAAATCTTGGGAAACGACGACTACTATATAACTGTGAGATTCAAATCAATTATTCTCAAAGCGTCTAAACTTTTGACATAAGAATAAACTACAGAATAAGAGGAATATAAGAGTATTGGCAAACATTTTAACATTTCAGCAAAAAAGAGACTAAAACTAAATACACAAAAGTTATTTCGACACCAAATTGTGTACATAATTATAAAGTCTGTTCTTAATAAGAACTTCTTATACTGTATTTCGCTATTTTCGACTAACACTTCTGTGAGTCTCTCTCTCTCTCTCTCTCTCTCTCTCTCTCTCTCTGCAAAAATAGCTTTATTTAGTGTATCGATGGTTTCTCTCACAAAATATACACACTCTTTGAACATTGAATTATCGTTTCAATTGTATGTTTCATTACATATATAAAAAAAAGTATAAGAAAAGTTCAAAAGACTAATAAAGAGTGAGAATTAAATGAAAATAATACTCAAAGAAATGAAATAAAAAGTAAAAATATATCATTAAATCCATAACTAATGTTATAAAATGTGTGGCTTTTTTCAAAATGATATTTTCTCGTTTTTTTCTTGGGATTAAATTTTATTTTATTTTAAATATTATTTTCAATGTTAAAGACCTTTGAATTGTATATATTGTTAACAATTTCAACATTTGTTGAACAAAAAACACAAATTCGTGCTCTCATTACAAAAGTAGTGTTTTTCTTATTCTTGTGTATCATTTATGCGATGATATACTGAAGACATTAGAAGAAACTTCTTATCTGTATATCAATGCTATGAGAGAAAGATATGAGATATAAAGTTATGTCTTATAATAATTGCAAATAATATTTAGTATTCTTTTGTCGCATTCGTATCGATGTCTTAATGCTGTCGACTCTGAGGTCTGACTAAACGAATCGTAACAATGAATTAGTTATACATACAGTGTATGTGTATATAAACACTGTTTTTATGATATCAAACCCGAAACTGACATATATTAAGATCAATCAATTTTGTGCATTACATTGTCTTGAGTGCAGAAAACACTGGCAGAGAAGAGTGTATTGATCTCTTCAACACAAAACACATACAATCCATATGTAAAAGAAAAATAAAATTGATTGAAAATATAAAATGCAATTTTCGTGAACTTTTAGATAACCTATCGATAAGAATCTGAGAGAAAAGATGAAGAAAAAAAATTAATCTAATTTTCGTAACATTTTTCACAACATTTTGCGATTAAAATTAATATTTAGGACCAGATATAAGTTGCCGAACGTAAATGTAAAACGAATTAAAATAGTTTGTTCACTAAATCGACAGTTGTCTGTAGATTTGTGAGAGAGTGAAGTCAATTATAACGTGGAGTCGTGCGGGACAGACCATCACATCCTTTCAGGTTTTTACCTT